GGGGGGGGTAGGATTACTCATGACACGTTAATGATTAGTGTAACAAAGAAGTACACATCAAAGGTTTGTTTTTTCGTAACAATTCGCCAGTGATTAAAACTTGTATTGTCTACGCGATGCCGCGCAAAAGAGAAAATGTGCGAAATCAGATTGTTGGAATAATCCGCGGGGGTGCCTCAGTATCAACTGTTGCGAGACTTTTTAATGTAACATGAAGAACTCTGTGCGCAACTATGGATCGTGAGAGAACAGCATGAGCACAAAAGGATCGACCCCGTCGACTAGGGAGAAAAAAAAACCCACTCCAAGCGAGGATTCTTTTATACGTCTGTTGCATCTACGGGATCGTTTCAAAACGGCAAGGCAAACCAGAGATGAGTTGAACAACATGCGACAACACCAACCTCAGACACTTCCTCAACTTGAGAGAGCATTGCATTAGGAGTGGAATAACATCTCTCAACAGGCAGTGCAGCGATTGATTGATTCCATGCGCGACGATGTCTGGCCGTCATCTATGCAAGAGGACACCATACGCGCTACTTATCCTGTTACTTTTGCAGACAACCCCCACACTCGTGTATGTCGGGAATATATTATCTTCTATGTTAACTTTCCGTGATGTTGTTGCTTTTTTCATTTTTAAAGTTGACCGTATTAGTATTCCTGAAATTTTAAAGATTGTCATTCTGCTCATTGTGAAACTACCTACGAGATACGTCCAGAAAGTAAGTAACGTTTTCACATATCTCTGAACTGGGTTAGGATATTCCCGATTGTTGCAGACTCTGGGATGGATCCTGAAGAAAGGGGGGGGGGGGGAGAGCAGAGATGGGCAAGTTCTGACTGTAGCGATCCCAATACAGTGGACAAGGTATGACAAGGCGTGTATTGCCGATGTTGCACCGCAGTGAATTGATGTGTTCAATACTGAACCGGAAAGAGCCCTCTGCTTCCATCTTACCGTTGGAACAACAATCTACAACGCTTGTAAAACATCTCACCCAGTCCCCCCCGCGCCAGTTTACACAGCCACACCTTACACATCCTACACCTTTTTAAAGCTCCTACATTTCTTCCAAGTTTAAAAATTATGCTGACAGTGAAATTTTGTCTGTTATTCGTTTTCTGACTGCAAAGAACATGAAGCCTAGCGACATTCATAGGCAGATTTTGAAGTGTATGGTGAAAATGCAATGGGTGAAAGCATGGTGCGGAAATGGGTTCACATGTTCAAAGAGGGTCGAGAAAGTGTGCATGATGAACTCAGGAGTGGGCGTCCATCTTTGTTCAGTAATGATTTCATATACATTAAACAAATGAACAAAGTTGACATTAAGGTAAAGGAAGACAGGCGTTTTACCCTTTCAAACTTTCCTGAGATTTCAAGGTCGCTTCTGTATGAAATCGTCACTGACCATTTGGTTTATCGAAAGGTGTGCTCACGCTGGGTACCCAAGCAGCTGACACAAGCGCATAAAGATCAACGGGCTGCCAGCGCATTGACATTCCTGACACGTTACAATGACGAAGGAGACGACTTTCTTACTCATATTGTGACGGGGAATGAAACCTGGTTGTACCACTCCACGCCCGAGTCAAAGCTGCAGTCGATGCAGTGGAAGCATACGGATTCGCCCCAGCCAAAAAAGTTCAAGCAGGCCGTATCATGAAAAAAAAGGCATGTGTACAGGGACAGGCAAGGAGTTCTTTTAGTAGAATTTTTGGGGAAAATGGGATGACAGTTAACTTTGATGTGTACTGCACCACACTTTAAAAACTTCGTAGAGCCATTCAACAAAAAAAAAAAGAACCGGAATGCTTAGCAACTGCGTTGTTCTGCTTCACGACAATGCTACTCCTCACAAGTCTGCAACTACTCAAAACATGATCCCCTCCTTCGGATGGGAGTAGTTGAAGCACCCATCGTACAACCCAGACCTGGCTCCGAGTGACTTTCATCTGTTCCTGCATTTGAAAAAGATTTTGGTCGGGCAGGACTTCAACTCAGACGCTGATCTCACAGGAGAGACTCGACATTATATTAGCTGTCATCACGGGCCGCAGCTTTCTACGATGAGGGCATTCTGAAGCTCATCCCACGCTACGACAAATGCCTCATCAGTCCTGGTGATTACATGGAGAGGTAGTCACATGTAATATGATATATTCAAAAATATATCCTTTCGATTGAGAAAATTATGTTTTTTATAATTATTATACCATTAATCCTCTCTCTCTTCAAACTTCCCCCTTTCTGGACGTCCCTTTTCGTTTTAACTCAGCGTATACTTTAAAATGTGACAGAGTATATATATGTATCTATATATATATGTGTGTGTGTGTGTGTGTGTGTGTGTGTGTGTGTGTGTGTGTGTGTGTGT